CCTCCCAACCTTCCACAGGCCCCACTGTGAGTTGTTCACCTCTCTGTGTCCATGTCTTCTTAACATTCAGCTCCCATTTATAAGTGAGAACATGCAGTGTTTGGTTTTCTGTTCCTGCATTAGTTTGCTGAGGATAATGGCCTCCTGCTCCATCCATGTTCCTGCAAAGGACATGATTTCATTTCTTTTTATGGCTGCATAGTATTCCATGGTGTATATGTACCACATTTTCTTTATCCAGTCTATCATTGATGGACATTTAGGTTGATGCCATGTGTTTGCTGTTGTGAATTGTGCTGCAGTGAACATATAGGTGCATGCATCTTTAAAATAAAATGATTTATATTCCTTTGGAATATACGCAGTAATTAAATTGCTGATTCAAATGGTATTTCTGCCTCTTGGTCTTTGAGGAATCACCACACTGTCTTCCACAATGGTTGAACTAATTTACTCTCCCACCAACGTGTAAAAATATTTCTTTTTCTCCACAATCATGTCAGTATCTGTTGTTGACTTTCTAATGATAGCCATTCTGACTGGTGTGTAATGGTATCTCATTGTGGTTTGGATTTGGATTTCTCTAATGATCAGTGATATTGAACTTTTTTCATATGTTTGTTAGCTGCATGCATGTCTTCTTTTGAGAGCTGCCTGTTCTTTTGCCCCACTTTTTATGGGGTTGTTTTTTTTATTGTGAATTTATTTAAGTTCCTTGTAGATGCTGGATATTAGGCCTTTGTCAGATAAATAGATTGCAAAATTTTTCTCCCATTCTGTAGGTTGTCTGTTTACTCTGATAATAGTTTCTTTTGCTGTGCAGACACTCTTTCGTTTAATTAGGTCCCATTTGCCAATTTTTGCTTTAGTTGTAATTGCTTTTGGCATCTTCATCATGAAGTCTTCACCTGTGCCTGTGTCCTGAATGGTATTACTTAGATTTTCTTCTGGAGATTTTAGAGTTTTGGGTTTTACATTTAAGTCTTTAATCCATCTTGAGTTGATTTTCTTATGTGGTCTAAGGAAGGGGTCCAATTTCAATTTTCTGCATATGGCTAGCCAGTTATCCCAGCACTATTTATTAAATGGGGAATCCTTTTCCCATTACTTATTTTTGTCAGTTTTGGCAAAGATCAGATGATTGTAGGTGTGTGGTCTTATTTCTGGGCTCTCTATTCTGTGATTCCATTGGTCTGTGTGTCTGCTCTTATACCAGTACCATGCTGTTTTGGTTAGTGTAGCCTTGTACTATAGTGTAAAGTAGGGTAGCATGATGCCTCCAGCTTTGTTCTTTTTGCTTAGGATTGTCTTGGTTATTCAAGCTCACTTTTGGTTTCCTACAAATTTTAAAAGAGTTTCTTCTAATTTCATTAAGAATGTCAATGGTAGTTTAACGGGAATAGCATTGAATCTATAAATTGCTTTGGGCAGTATGGCCATTTTCACAATATTGATTCTCCCTATCCATGAGCATGGAATGTTTTTCCATTTGTGCTCTCTTCAATTTATTTGATCAGTGGTTTGTAGTTCTCCTTGAAGAGGTCCCTCACTTTCCTTTTTAGCTATATTTCTAGGTATTTTGTTCTTTGTGTAGCAATTATGAATGGGAGTTCGTTATGATTTAGCTCTTGGCTTGCCTGCTGTTGGTGTATAGGAATGCTAGTGATTCGTGGACACAATTTTGTATTATGAGACTTTGCTGAAGTTGCTTATCAGCTAAGAACCTTTTGGGTTGAGACAATGGAGTTTTCTAGATATCTGATTATGTCATCTGCAAACAAAGATAATTTGACTTCCTTTCTTCCTACTTGAATAACTTTTATCTCTTTCTCTTGCCTAATTGCCTAGCCAGAACTTCCAATACTATGTTAAATAGGAGTGGTGAGAGAGGGCATCCATGTCTTGTGCCAGTTTTCAAGGGGAATGCTTCCGGTTTTTGCCCATTCAGTATGATATTGGCTGTGGGCTTTTCATATGTGGGTCTTCTTATTTTGAGGTATGTTCCTTCCATATCTAGTTTTTTGACAGTTTTTAACATGAAGGGATGTTGAATTTTATTAAAGGCCTTTACTGCATCTACTGAGATAATCATGTGGTTTTTGTCTTTAGTTCTGTTTATCCACTTTTATGGATTTGGACCCTTTCTTAATGTAAATGACTCAAATTTAAAATGTTTGAATATATCAATAAATCAACAAAGGGGATTTTGGAATACTTTTACAAAATATTTGTGGAATTTACAAGTTCACTGGTAATTTTAAATTTTCCAGAATGTTTTATGAGATTTTGGAGCCATTCACGTAATAAGTTATAAAACTCAGAGACAAATCTAGACTTGATCTAAATGCTTGACAAAAGAAAACTAGAGCTCAAACTAATTTACTACTGAAAATATGAGCACAAATGGAACACAAGAATGGTTCAATAAGAGATAATTTGTTAACTTGCAATGTAGTAATATAATTCAACTCATCAGTAGATCAAACAAAATACTCTATTGTCTGTCACATGGATTTTTGAAATAATCATGAACAGAACGAAGCATTCATTCTTATTTAAAATAAATACATAAATAATTTATGTGTAAAAGAGCAGAAGGATATTGTCTTAATGTAGAGTCAGAACTAGTGTTATGTATACTTGAGAAATAAAATGTTTTCTTTTGTGATGGTGGTGGTGTTGATGCTACAAGTTTGTATACCATTATTATTGTTTAATATTGCTTAGAAAGTTTTGGCTAGGAGTTAGGAAGTTTTGATGGCGACAGTAAAATAGGAAATAAATGTATAAGAAATTGATTTCATATTAATGTATTTAATAAGATGATATATATATACACACACACACATATATATCATATGATTACCATCATACCTTGGAGATATTGTGGATTCAGTTCCAGACTAATGCAATAAAGTGAATATTGCAATAATCAAGTGTCACAAAGTTTTTGGTTTCATAGTACATATAAAAGATATGTTTACACTATATTATAGTCTATTAAGTGTGCAATAATCACATTATATTTAAAATATATATGCCTCAATTTAAAGATTTTTTTTCCAAAAAAAAAAAAAAGCTAACACAAAGACACAAAGTGAGCACCCACTGTTGGAAAAATAGTGTTGATAGATCTATTTGCCACAGGGCTGATACAAACCTTCCATTCATGAAAACCACAAAATCTGTGAAGTACAACAAAGCAAAGTACAATAAAACAAGGTATTGCCTGTATCTCCCTCAAAAATTAAAAGAAAATTACTAAAAAGTATATGATTTAATATAAAAGTATATGCAAGTATCTGGATAAAGAAAATATACCAGCAGCAATAAGATGAGCACAGCGTTTACATGATAAAATATTTAATGAATTAAAACAATTCATATACAATGGAATCTTTGAAATCATGAAATTCATAGAAATTAATTTAATGATGGGTATGTGAACTAGAGAAATAAAATAATAACCTTAGTTGGGAGACTTTATTAGAAATTTTCTGAAAATAGAGAACAACAGTGGGTTCTTGGAAAGAAAAATGAAATATTTTAAAAACATCCATTCTTCTCCAACTAGATGTTTTAATGTAAATAATAAATTATCAATAAAAATTCTAACAAGCTAGTTAAATAAAATTATTCTGTAATTAAGCTTGAAAATGAAATAGATAAAATATCAAAGAGTTCTCTTTAAAATTTGTAGTCGTAAGTAAAAGTGGGCAAAAGGATTAATAATCCTCTTCACCTATTACACTGCATTGAGTAACTTTGTTTTTACTAGTGTGAAGCTTGTAAAAAAATCTAGAAAGAGCCTTTAGTATATCAGTAGCTATTCATGTAAGAAGACATTCTGATTGGGAGACCACATCCTCCTGAAACATTAAGAGAGAGACAGATAAAAAGAGACAGTGAACTAGAGATAGAGAAGTATCCAAATATAGATGTAGTTGAAGTACATGCTGACAGTGATATTTCAAAGCAGCAGAAAAAACTGCATTTCTCATTAAATGGTATTGCGACAAACCTGATAATATAAATTATCTCGATTCTTTTTCATAGTAGAAAAAATACTCATAACAGTACACCTTGCTTTTAAAATAATGTATCTATTAAAAAGGCAATTTGTGTTAATATTAATTAGAAATAAAAGTAGTAAAAGAAAAAAAACCCTAGTATCTCATAACCTTTCCAAAGTGAACCACTATTAAATTAGATTGGTGCAAAAGTAATTGCGGTTTTTGCCATTACTTTTAGTGGCAAAAATCGCAACTGCTTTTGCACCAACCTGATGATAACAATTCAGTGTATTTCCTCCCAGACTATGCTTTATGCTCAACTTCTTATTGTTGACATCATACTTTATATCCAATTATAACTCTTACATTTTAAAATCAACATTATATTTACTTCCCATTATTTTACAGATGTTTAATAAGCATCATTATTGACAAGTGAAATTTCATCATATTGATTCTTAATTAACTGCTTCACAAAATGGTACAGAACATTTGGAATATTTCCTGTTTTTCTTCATTATAGATGACAATTGTGGACAATCTTATGCATAAGGCTTTTTGCATACAATATAGGCTTTTAAACTAGGCTAGTCTGTAGCTGAATAGAGGTATGTTTTGTTTGTCTCTTGGCTTTAGTATGGCCATATCTTTTAAGATGCTTGGATAAGAGATAATTTAAAAGACATTGATTTTCTTTTTCTTTTTCCCTCCTTCTGTAAATTATTGTTTTATTTAGTATTAAAAAGGTTCAGAAAGGAAGTGAAAATGGTTTTTTAAAATAGGCCTTTAAGAAGCAAGCAATTACAGTTATTTTTACATGGGCTAATCAGTATCCTTTTAAATGTGTAATCAAGTGGCATCTATAATTATTTGAGCCACTTGGCTCATGCATACAATTGAATCTACCAAAAACGCATGTGTTTACTTTCCTTTCCTAATCTTTCAGAGCTTGTAACTAAGAGTTTGTTTTTATTTTCACCCCAAAAGCTTAGTTTTGGAGGAATTCCAGTACCAGGAAAACCTGGGACCTTTTTAAAGAAAAACTTCCATGGATGCATCGAAAACCTTTACTACAATGGAGTAAACATAATTGACCTGGCTAAGAGACGAAAGCATCAGATCTATACTGTGGTAAGTCAACCCATCTGTTTTGTCTTGATGGTTTCTACCACTTTGGGGTAAGTCTTGCTTTCACCAGCCCATTCCTGCACCCATTGATATGTTTATCTTATGCTCTGAGTTCCCATCAGTCTCTGAGGTGACACTGGAGAGAAGAGAATGGCAGGTATTGAATCAGTGTAAATTGCACTAGTGGAAGAAACAAAGACATTAGAGCCATCCAGAGAATTCATTTTTTTTTTTTTGACTGTGGGGTATATTTCAGCTGTGGGTAGTATTTGCAGTCTATATTGGGACAACATGAATTTTTTATTATCTTTGGAAAATGAAACAAGAAAACCACATATTCCATTAAATTCTATGGCCTGGGAGTTACATATTTGTCTACTTATTGTTAATATTAAAAATAGTTTATTTTAAATGAGGGAGATTAAACTTTTAGTGTGTTTGAGATTCTCATTTATCATACTGACAAATTAAATGATTTTCTAATTAAGTAACATTTGGCTTCCCTAATAGACAATGAGTTTCATGAGGGTCAGGACCGTGTTTTTTTTTTTTTCACTACTGCATTCACAATGACTAACAGAGTGCCTTACACATGGTAGGTGCTCAATAAAGGTGTTGATGTTTCCAACAATAACTTTGGATTTGTCTGTTTCTCCCTCCAGTTCTATCCATTTTTGGTTTATATATTTTGTAGCTCTGTTGTTGATACATACACATTTAGTATGCTATGTGTTCTGGTGGATTCACTCTTATCATTATATAATATTATCTGTCTGATAGCTCTCTTTGCTCTGAAGTCTGTCTGATATTAACATAGTCACTCTTGCTTTTCCTCTATAAATGTCTTTGTGGTGTAACTTTTCCCATCCTTTTGCTTTTAGCCTGCCTATGTCATTATTTTTGAAGTGAGTTTCTTGTAAGCAACGAATAGTTGGGTCATGGTTTTTTAATTCATGCTTTCAATTTCTGTCTTTTAATTGGTCTATTTAGCAAATTTACATTTAATGTAATGAATGTGTTGGGCTTAAATACTTGTTTATTTTTGTTTTCTGAGTTTTTAAAAATTCTCTTTTCTCTACCTTCCTGTGTTTCTTGGATAGTTTTTAAAATTCTATTTTGCTTTATTTAGTGTTAGAGTATATCTATGTATGCTTTTGTTACTGGTTTATGTAGACATTTTATTATATATACATAACTTATAGTAGTTTACTGGTTTAATCATTTTACCAATTTAACTGATGTGTAGAAACCTAATTTCCATTTACATCCCTTTACTTTCCCTTATTTACTTTATAATTGTCTTCATTTGACAATTATATTTTTAGAACCATTTCTATATATTTAGAACCATTTCAAGTAGTATGATTTTTGCTACAATGTCAGACATCATGTAGAGAATTCCAGAGGAGAAGGAGAGTTTGTTGCATTTACTCATATTTTTGCCCAATATTGACAAAAGGTAAAGAAAAGCTCTTGAAACCACGAGGGATATGTTTGGCTTGGATTAGTATCAAAGACTCATTACTGCTTCCCATGTGACCTGCAGTGACATCAGTGTTTGTGTGTGGGTGGGAGAGGGATGCCCCTCATATCACTGGAGGGTGATGACAGTCCTGACTCACCACTAAACCATCTCTGAGACTGCTCCTGCAGGGGTGAAGGGGGTTCCTCATGATAGTTCAGCAGGGGCAGAAGTCTAGGCTTTCCTTGTGATCTCAATTGATACCACAGGGAGAGACTTGGTTCTATCTGACAATGATTAAATTCCCAGATCTTCAGAATTGTTCTTGTAAGCCACAGATTCCCAGATTGATCTTCCCATATACCACCCTGGCCAGAAATCTGGGCACCTCACTACAGCATGGCTCAATGGAAGTGGGGCCACAATCTTTTCTATGGCATTTGGCTTAGGGAGAGAAGTTGTTGTCTAAAAACATCTCTCTTTCTTCATTCTTTGCCTAGAGAGCAGTCTTCTAATGGCAATTTTAAACAGAATTTAACTGCACCAGTTGGTCTCTCTGGGTTGTTTGTCTTTCAGGAACATACGTAAAACAGATCAGGTTAAGAGAAAATCCAGAGAATTCTCCAGTATGTTTTTCTCTTGGTCCCAAGGTTTTTATATATCCTTTATTTATTTTCTCCACCATTCAGAGTTCTTTTTAGGTAGATTTTATACAGAATTTCTATCGTCTTTTAGTCTTACTTAGCAGAATAAATAGGGAAAACTATGTTACGTCATATTCCTGGAATTGGAAATCTCTTCAACTGACATTTTTTCTTTCGTCTATGGCAAGAGTAGGTCACCCTATCATTGACAGCAATAATCTGATTCTCTTTGCAACCTAATTATAGAATTATCTGAACAAACTATGGGTTTAAATGACTTTGTGTTTGTTTTCTTCTTTGATAAATATAATCTATAATGATTTTTATGTTTTGGGGTATCATATTAACACATTTTCTTGAAAACTGCCATTGGATTCAAGGATGTGAGTCAGAGGATGCTCCTGGGGAGTCACACTTGGATTAAAGATTGTCAGAATTTTAAAAGGTTTGTGTCAAGTCCCTGGCTCCTTTGGTTTGGAAAAGTTAGGATGCTGCTAGGGAGGGATTAGTTACCTCACTGACTCTAGAAAAGCCAATAGCATTACTTGTCCATCTCTGGCTCAAGCCCAAGGCTCCCGACAATTCTGCAACTTATCCACATGAGCTTAGGTCAACCATCTCCTAATTAACATAAGCACTGACTTGCTCATGACATTTTTTTTTCTTTTTGATTCTAGGTTTGTGGTCTTGGGCCATGGAAAGCACACTCATTCCTATCCCTTTCCCAATATTGTTTCAAGAAATATTTCATAACATATCAGTTTCCTTGAGTCCAATCTGCTGACACAGGGGCCCTACATTGAGATCATGCACTATGGGAAGTTTAGATTAGCCTAATGTTATCAACATCAAAGGGCATCACTACCTGCCATTTTGCTAAGATGTGGCAGAGCAAGTTGAAACAACAGTAAGTTTATAAAAACATTGCACACTCATTGTTCATAAACTGGGACTTAAAAGTGTAAAAGCCTGAGCTTTAGATATAAATAACTAAGATCTCTATAATAATATTTTAAAAGAATGTATTTATACATATGATGTGTTAAAAATATCTTTAATGATAAGCTATATTAGAGTTACTGAATAAGCAAAGCAAAAAAAGGAAGATGAGAACGAGCAAGGGGAAATAAACTTCAGTTTGTGAATATCGGTAGCTTCCACCATTTCCTTTTCTGAGAGAATCATTATCTAAAACTTTAACAAGTGTTGTGGTGACTTTTAAACTACTACAGCACTTATCAAGTTGCCTAAAACTTCGCTAGTATACGTTACTCTCAGGGTTTAATTGGCGGTATTGTTAATATGAGGCATAAAGAATCCATTTAGCCCTAATGTATTTGGAAAAAAATCCCAAGAAAATTGTTTTATTGTGCAGGTAGGCAACCTTAGTTTTAACCTTCACAATTTAGAAGAAAAAAATGTACATTATTTTTCTTCCAAATTGCTTCCAACACCCTGCTTAAGTGAGAATTCACATCACTATACACTTGCACATGTACGCGCGCGCGCGCACACACACACACACACGTTTATATATCTAGTCTATCTCCTTTAGGAATTTCTTATGGGAAGCTATGGTTTGCACAGTTAAATACTGAAGTACAAACTCTTCCCTTTCTGTAGTCAAGCTTAAAGTTTCCCCCAAAGACACCATATCTGCTACAAAATCAGCTTTGCTCCCAGTCATTAAGTCACTGTAGTGCTAAGTAAGGGCTTTTGGAAGGAATGGCATTTTTGTCCTTCTCTAGTGTTTGCTGACTCTCTTGCATTATTAAGCCTTGGGAAGTTCAGATTCAAGGGATCAACAAATCAGGCAGCAAGAGTATGGTACTACCCATACATTATAAAATGTGTTTCAAGGCCCACAGAAGCCCAGCCTTTGCCTAATCTAACGTATGCCTCTCTAGCAGGCTGCATTCAGCAGCCATCCTCATTGCAATCTGTCATCTCTTTCTTGTGGGACCTTCCCCCTCCCTGGAGACTTAACAGCTGTTCCATAGGGATAATTCAGTTTAGTCTTTATAGCTCGATTTGACTACAAGACAATTCTCCACATCCCGAAATGCAGTAAAACTAACAGCTTAAAGTAGACATAAAAAATACCTCACTATTCTTCCTCAAATCCTTTATCATATGCTAATATAGCACTATATAATAAACAATCAGAAAGCAAATGGCCCATTGAAGTGTATGTACAGTACCTGTAATGTGGATTATTATATACGTAGTATAAGAAATATATTGCTGTGATAGTTTCCTGAAAATGATTAATTTCATACCTTGCACTCCATCAAAAATGATGCTTTTTTAGCTGTCCTTTCTGAGTCTTACATCTCCTCTCCCAGAGGCAAGGAGAATAACATGATTACCTATGAGCTGGTTGAAGTTTCACTCACATCATTGTAGGTTCCAAAATATTTTGTTTTTTATTTAAAAGATCATAGTGGAAATTCATGTGTTACTTCACTTTACCTTCAACAGAAGGGAAGAAAATGCAAATAACTAACAGGAAGACTTTAGTTTAGCTTTGGAGCTAATTGACTATGTCAATTCATTTCTGTGCCTTTGTCTCCAAATAATTGGAATCAGGGAATTGGATGGGCAATGGCCAATACTAAGCCCCATATAATACTACTCCCAACCTCATGGTTGAAATTGCTAAATAATCACAAGTTACCTTTACGTTTGCCCTAGAGGAAAACCCAAAGGTCTCCCTTCAGTGTTCCTGGAAGCATCCGTAATAAAATCATGACTGAAACATTGACTTCCTAGGTTGTTTATACCCACTCCATGGCTTATTCAGCTGTGGGATCTTGAGAAAGTTACGAAACTTCAGTACCCTCATACATAAAATGAGGGCAATTATAGTATCTACTTCAAAGTGTTAGTGTGAAGAT